ATAATTTAACTATACTGCAATATAGATAATAACTAAGAAATAAAGTGTTTTTAGATTTGTAAAGCATATATTTGGAATGGATTATATATTTAAAATATAATTAAAAATATATTCAAATGTTCATACAATATTTATTTAAATCTATATATATTTTATTGTAATTATATTTACTTATAATTATTATTATTATATTCAATAAATTATCTTAAATATTATTTAAATATTCTTATAAGTTATAAAAATTATAATATCGACATGAAAATAGGCTCATTTGAAAAAGAATTTAATATCCGTTAACATTAATAACGGCAATGAGGAACGAAATATAAAGCTGTAATAATCCGTGCGGGGGTAAAGTAAAGAGGGAACGGGTTTCATCGAAAGGATGTAGTCCTCAGTAGCTCGGTGTATTATCGTTAATCCCGCAGAAAACCAAAGATTATAATTTATTTACGGACAGCTAGTAAGGACCTCAATAGCAAGCCATATGTCGACTAATAAAATTACACCAACATAAAAAAAGTAAAGTTATTCTTTTGTGCTCCGTTCACTTTATGTCTTTTGAACGTGTGACGTCTGGCGAAAAAAATATATTTTCCACCATGGGTGAGAAAGATTCCGGGAGAAGGTAAAGTAAAATGGTATCAAATCCGAAGAAAAATCAAGCTCAACTTATCTCGTAAGGATTTTTTTTCTTCGTTTCTAAAACCAAACTGTGGGAAAAACAACTACCCGTAAACTTACCATGTGTTTGACATTTTATAAAAGAAGATTCTTGTTTAAGTTAATTTTGCCGTCAGCACTCCAGTAAAAACAATTAAGATTATAATAAGACCAAGGGGCATGATTATAAATGAACAACAGTAGAGGAACAACGCCGTTTCTGGGACCGCCTCACTCCGCACTTCTCTACACTCATGGAGTCTGACAGGGTCGAAGTCGCTCCTCATGGCCAAAATCTGATGTAGGGAGGAGGGGAAAAACCAGGTTCTGAGACCACTTCCTACCTCACTCCATCAACATTCATGAAGTTTGACGAGGTTCACGACTCACGTTGTGTTCCTGGTGGCCTTAATCTAAAGTAGAACGTTGAGGAAAAACCGGTCCTGTGACCACCTCACACTCCACCACCATCTTTCTTGATGGACTCTGACGGAGTCCACGGCTTATATAGCGCTCCTGATGGCCAAAACCTGAACTAGTGAGTAGGGGAAAAACGGATCTGTGACCACTTCCTACCTCACTCCATCCACATTCATGGAGTTTGACGAGGTTCACGAATCACGTTGTGTTCCTGGCGGACACAATCTAAACTAGAGCGTTGAGGAAAAACCGGTCCTGTGACTGCCTCACAGTTCAACCCCATCCATCTTGACAGAATTTGATGAGAGTCACTGCTCACGTAGCGCTCTTTGTGGCCACAACCTAAATTCAGATGATTTCTCTACCTGTTTTCTACGTCAGCGACGCGGGTTTTTGACCTGGCATGTCTCCTCTCACCCTTTTAATTTTAGGAACCCGTCTGCGTTTTTCACCCCTTCCCATTGCCTACTCGCATACATTTTAGACTCAAGACTGTAAACTCCTCTTTTGCGTTTATCGTATTGAATCAATTTATTTTAATTTAAACCAATTGTTTCGTTATTTTGTTTTGATCAAATAGGTTAGTTATTTTTGCTTGACTTTTATTTTTTGTAATTTCGATGAGTTCTTTATTTAGTTTGTAATTAATTTGATCCATACTTTTATTAAGATGGATGATAAGAAAATTACGTAATTTACCAAAGGTTTTCAAGTCCTGATATCCGCCCTAGACATAAAAAACTTGTCATTCATCATCCAAAATTAATATTTGCATGCTTTGAGGATAAGCATTTGATACAAACGAATTGAGACAAGCGCATGAAGCATTATGTGAACTACAAAGGAGTTGCGCACCCACTCGCGATGACAATATCCCTATACTTGAGAGGTCCAAATTATGGTTAAAATATGGGGTAAATATTGGAGATGTAACTAGAGAAGTGCATGAAATTTCACGCAAAATCCTTCTTCCATCCACCTCACGTGATCTGCCATTGCAATTATCTTTTGACGAACCCTGCTGGCATATTTACGGGACGTGAGGCATACCCTTTCATAACATCAAAGCTAGACATGATCGTGAGTTGCTTTGCAAAAATATACATGAAAAAAGAAAAGGTAAATGACAGAATGTTACCAAAAACTCGTCTTGAAATGGATCCGATCGGTGATGACGGATTCATCGAAATTGAAACGGCATTTAATAACAATCTGAAAACCTATTTTATTAAAAATGAAAGGCATTACCCTATTTTTCATACAAATAATTCACTTATTACAACTAAAAAATTATTTAACATAAACAAATCCACCCCGCACCAACAGTAATATGCTGAATCGGTTGACTTTTCAAGTATTAACCATCCCACACCGTTAAAACGGTTTAAAAGACATAAAGGGTTTTGGGCATGGGTGGCTGCAACGACTTAGTCATTGACACGGTGCTTATCACTATGACAGAAAGGTCCCTGGTTCGGATCCATACTTACAAATGGGCTTTTTGTCAAAAACATCGCCTTCTCGAGGGTTCATATAACCTCGTAGTTGAGTATCCTCGGGAAAAAAAGAGAAATTGAATGACATCTCGATAAATATATTCCGTCTTGATGATAAAAATTATGTTTATCCTCTCAAAATTTGAGATTGTGAGTTACAAGACAACAGGGACCTACTTTTCTTGAGAAAAGAATTATTGTTGAATTAAAATCTGTAAAGACTTGGGGAAGACAAATCAACAAACATGAACATGAATTTTTGTTTGGAAGACATGTTTTACTCACGTCGACAGAACAAACGGTATTAGTAATGAAAAATACGAAACTCATTAACTATATTGTAAAAAAAACAAATCCACCCGCATATCCTTACTTACACTTCTACCATTCCTAAACCCGATAAAACCCCGCTATTTCTTGTTCTTATGACCTTCAACGTATACATTACAGGATTTCATTTTTCAACTTTATGTATGTTAAAAATTTCAGTGGCCATTACGGAGTATAACCTATACTAAATTGTGGTTTGTATTTCGATATTCTCACGTCATCTCCAATTCGGAATTTTGGTAACTTTTTATTTTATTTATTTATTTATATTTGTAATGAAAACGTTTTCTAATAAATGTGTTTCAATGTTACCAGGGTTCACTGCTGTCGGCACTATTCCAATTATTATATTCATAGAGTTTTTGCTTTTAGTGAGATTTTGACAGTGATAACTATTCGTAAATCATTGTTTTTAAGGTTCTAATACTTCGTTCAACTATAGATGATTTTTATACCAAGTTTTTTAAAAACGGAATTTGCGTCTTTATTGTAAAAATCTTTAACTTGATCGGATTGCAATTTCGTGATAGACAACCTTTAGATAAGCGCAGTATTTCACATCCCTTTTCACTTTTCAATTCACATGTCTACATTTATTTTGAAAAGATATCAATTACTACTAGTATGTATTTGCAACCTTTTTCTTTAGTGAATGAATGAGTGAGCATACCAAACAAACATAAAATACTCTCTATGACGTTCTCTATGACTGAAAGAAGGGGGAAGACATAGAGAAAGAGAGCACGAGAGAGAGAGAGAGAGAGAGAGAGAGAGAGAGAGAGAGAGAGAGAGAGAGGGAGGGAGAGAGTGAGAGAGAGGGAGCGAATGAGCAAAAGAAAGTGAAATATATAGTCAGATTACACACAAAAGGAATGTTTAACGTTAATTTAAAGTTTACCATTCGTTACCTCTTCGCATAATAATACAATATAAAAATATATTTTGTTTTATTTTACAAAATTTGTTAATTGTATTCCTGTTAAATTCGAAGTTCATTTAGTGACAGTATTACATTCGTTTTTTATAGGAAAAATATATCAGGTGTGGCAAATTGGATTGATTTTCCTTTAAGAATTTTATCCAGAACATTAATGACTGCAGAGAGATAATGTATAATAAATGAGTGATTAATAAATCGCTTGTTGTCCTGTGTTAATGCCTTATTACAGGCCATGCCGAAATAATAAAAAATAATGACAAATATCTTTAAACTTGTGACCCTAGGATAATCATACTTTCAGCACAATTTGTTTTATGTAAGTAATTTCTTAATTGGCCAATTATTTTCTATAGACGGCAATAACTAAAATAGAACCGATAGAGCAGAATAAATTCATTACGATAGTTTTGTTTGTTGTTTATATTTATATTACGAAACATAGTTTCATGGGAATGGATAAAATCGATAGTTTGATAATTACTTATCATCTTGGTTTGCCTATCCTCTCTGATTTTGTCAGTCAGACGCGTTCAACAGTAAAGGTGGCGAAATGCTGAAACGCATCTGACAAACGGTCGTCTCTGCGATAAAATATCACAAAAAAATTTACATCTTGTCGTCTATATTTAATATTCATACACGTTTATTTTTAAATATGTAAAAAAAATATTTTACATCAATATTTGAGTTTGTTTTACAATTTAAGTAAAAAACGAGTTTTTTTATGAAGTGATGCTGATCTTAAACTTTGTTATGTAATTATATTTAGTGGATTCAGTAGATAAACCGTAATTGAATCTTTTTTAGAAATCGATTATACGACGAGCGGCGAAAACTATTAAGCAGAAGTAAAATTTCTTATTCAGGATTGACCGGGATCGTTTAAGCCTGCGTGCTGGTAACTGCAAAGTTCCGCTTACTTTTGGCTCGTTATCTGCTAATTTCAGTAGAGTTGATTTAGACGCTAATAGATTCGAAACACCGAAAACATTTAACACTTTTTTTATTTTATTGTATTTGATATATTTATTATTTATATATTTATTTACTTATAGTCGGTTGAAATTACCAAAAAAGTATATTTATGTGCGTTTAACTTGGCTCTTTTTATGTAATATTTTTTAAAAGCAAAATATCAAAACTTCACTTACTGTTCCATCGCAGAGGTTTCTAACAAAACATGGTAGGATGACTTTACTTCCGGCCTGAGCTGTTACAATGCTGGCGTTGCGAGTCATGAAAACTATTGCAGGCTTGGACTTGTTACTGTTCCAATCTTTGCTGCCGTGATCGGGTTTCGCTTCGGCCCCCCAGTCGTTATGACCTGTAACATATGAAAACTTTTCATAAGAAAAGATAAAAAAGGTTATATGAAGAATAACAGCTGAAAAATATACAAAAATAAATTGTAATTAGTTATAATCTTATCAGACCATGTAAATGACATTAAATAATATCTCGTGGTAGATCTGTTAAGGTGTAAACTCACAACGCCATCTACGACCGGAGGTGTTGTTAAACCTCCCACCACTTCATATCTTAATTCAAGGTGAAGCTCAGGCTCATAAATCAACAACCATCCGCAAGAATAGGCCATGTAAATAAACAATGGAAACTGAGGGAGAGGTACAGGCAGATGGCATTTTAGGCATGCCAATTGATACCACTACGCCAAATCTTACTAAAAAGTACAAGGTACCAGAATGGGAAGAATGGGCCAAAGGAACACTGTTGAAGGCAAACCCCTACTGGTATGCTAACGGCTCCAAAACGAACAAGGGTACGGGAGCTGGAGTCTTCGGGTTGAACCGAAAGACCGAACTGTCGGCAACCCCCCGGACAAATCGTACCGATAGGAGTACAGACAGAAGAAACACTGTGCAGATACTGCCAGAAAGAGGGAGACTGCAGAACACATTCTATGTTTCTGCGAAGGTCTATGAAGGTGCAGGTTTTTGCAACTAGGTCAAGAAAAACCACAAGCAAGATCCTACACTAAGGAGCCGCTGGCAAAGCTGTGGAGGCTGATTAATAACTCTATTCAGGTCAAGGTGCAGTAGGATTTGTGGCCGCCTCTTTCATCCCTATCCTAAGGAGTAAACTGATTACAGATTACTGATTTGTATAAGCTTTTATGTGTTGTTGAGCCTATCACTTCTCGCAGTCCACCGCCAATTCAAACTTTTGTAATTTACAATTAATTACAATAAATTGCCGTCAGGCCTCGAGAAGCACCCACCACAGGTGTTGGCAGTCCGAGGTCAGACCGTCCAGCCGTCGAGGTTGAGCTCAGGGGCTATCAACATCTAGGCCATTTCAGCCCTCAACGCAAATAGTTGTTGAAACCAAACCAATTTATTCTATCTATCTCTTTTAAATACCTTATTTTCTATTTACATATTATTCACTCAGTTATGGTGGGGAGTACTCGATATTCCTCCATCACTCTTAACACCTAATTGAGGGTCGATGCGGTAATCAATATTCCGCTATCAGCCTTCTCAAGCTTCACGTTCACATCAATAATACATTTACTCTAAACACAAGCTAGGGACACAAATCAGTATTATATACAATAGAACAACCCTGTTTCCTCCACAAATCAGAACAGAAGACCTAGATACTTGCTGTCGTGCTTAAGGTTGATTCTCATATACTATACGCACTCGTGTTCATGTGTCAACCCCGCAGGGCCTATTCTTTACGGCCCCTATGGACCGTGCCCTTAAGGTATGAACTAAATACGTTCACACATATGTTATTCTTTACTCCCTTATTACGATATAATTCATTACCTGCCTTGTTGCATTGCATCATCGCAGTTGGGTTAAGATGTTTTGATAAGAAAGCGCGAAATAAATTGTACTTTTAGTAATTTGTTATTTACTCGTTATTAAAGTTATTTGTTTAATTTTAATAGATTGAGGTGTACTTATTTTAATTAGATGCCCCATAAATTGATTAGTTTTTGTTCAAATATATAAGATCAGATTATTTTAATTCAATAACACATATCTTTTCTACTATTTCTAGCTAAAATGGGGGAAAAAAGGATTCTCGTTCAAAATTGATGGATCAGACAGATAATCTTATGAATCACAAAATGCGCTAAACGATTTATCAAGAAGTGTGGGGGGGGCTTCCTTGGTTTGTATTTGCGTGATCAGATCCATCTTGCTGAAAGTAATTAATAATTAGGAATGACGTAAATGGTGTTGGATTTATCAACGATTAATCAATTTTTTCGAGCTTTTCGAGTCGTCTCAATTCTATACAGGGTGTCCTTTAGAGATGGCAGGGACGAATTTCTCGAACCAATGACGTTTTAAAAAAAATAATTCATTTAAAAACATTGTCTAGTTAGAAATTTTTAACTTTTTTGTAGAAAAATTATACAGGGTTAAAATTTCAAATACTACCCTATACATCCTGGCACATCTTTTGAAAGGATTTTGTACGCCCAAAACAATGGAGAAGTCAGATTTTAAATTGGTCAAAAAATGAAAAAGTTTGGAAAAAAAAACAACATTTGCTATATATTAATCACATTTCACGTTCATATTTCGTTTTCAGCGTGAAAAAATGTTGTGTCTGGATGTACAGGGTCGTATTTGAAATTATGAAGTTGAACTGGGGCTGATATTAAATCCGTATTTTTTGTGTTTTTGATAGCGTCATTGGTCCGAGAGAAATTCAGCCGGGCCATCTAAAAAGGACACCCTTTATTCCTTTATAGGAATTGCGGATCGCTCCTGTATGTCTTCGCTTGTCTCATGCCTGAGGTATTGTTCCATCAGGTTGTGGACTCATTAAGGATCCATTTTTGGATGATTTCTTTTTTGTGGCAAAATACTATGTCAAAGGTTCAAGGCGTAGAAAATTCATATGGCCTCGTTTTTCGGACAACATATCCACTTTATCATTGCTTCCACGCCCGAAATCGGTGCAGTACGGAGGACAAATAAAAGATTTTCTCTCTCGGCAAATATATCTTCTCGTCCGAAATGGCTATTTTAAAGACATTACAATATGTTCAAAAAATAGACATTAAAATTTGTATTTAACGGCGTTAAATGGTGCTAAAAACAAATACTATTTTTCCGTATCTTTTCAGCAGGACAACTAGCAGTACATCTTCCACAAATATATTCGACTATTTTTTATTAATATTATCAATTCCAAGATTACGTTGTTTTGATCGCCAAAATTACATTTAGCAACATTTAAATCGACTGACATTAATTAAACATGAGAATAACTTTTTTTCACTTCTTTGCAATGCACTTTGCCGAAGCAAAAAACAAAATTATCCTCATTCTATAATAGAAATGAAAATAAACAACAACACGCCTTTATTTTTTTCATCACGAAAGTAAATAATATCGTCGTACAATCTTAACATTTTATGTTATTAGACTTTACTGAGAATGTACGTGATGGCTTTTTTAAAACATGAATCCCGAGAGAAATGTAGCTTTTCTATTTTTGAATAAACAGGTCATTACACTAGCTCACCAAACAAAAATCCAAAAATTACATGATTTGTCTATCAAGGAGGTCTCCTTACAGTCGTTTCCACTTTACTTGATAAAGGGACAAAATACTAATAAAATTTCCCCTCAGGGGTGGGTCCATATAACCTCATAGACTCCCATAGATAACCTGTCTCTCGAATATTCCGATGGCATGCGGATAAATGCAAAGGAGATGATAGATGACTACAACTTAAAAAAAAAATTGGTTTTCATATAAACGGTACAGAACACTACGTGCACAAGTCCCAAACAGTATCTGATAGTAATCTACACAATTTCTCTTTGTGTAGGTTACATTTCTAATTTTGTCTGTGATATTACTTTGTAAAAAGTGACATTTATATATTTGTTAAAAACATTTTATCTAGAGTAAAAAGTAAGAAATGATAAAAAGAGAAAAAAAGGTTTATATATGTTGATAAAAGAAAACAATTTTAATTACTGACTGAAGAAACTGTAACTACCAAAAAATTCATCTTCACAGATGAGTTATTATAAAATATTATATGTTTATACATCCATTGTAGAGTTCTGAGGAATGTGCCGAAAGCTTGGCGTAGTTTCAGCACATCCCATTTCCTACCAAATATATTGTTGAATAACTGGTCAGGCTGGTCGATCACTTTTACATCATCAAAATTGGAATATTATAACAATTGCCTGTATCCGTGATAACGAATTCCACATCGATTCACCATAAATTATTAGGTTTATTAAAAATAATATCGAGTGTTTTTTCTACCTTCTAGAATTTATCAATTTTTACTCCTCCTGTAATATATACACCATATGGAACTTTTTATTGAATATCATTTACTAAATAAGGATTGAATAATAAACGTGGCTAATAAATTCACTCAACTGAATTTTCTCTCATTATTTATGATTGTTTTAAACAACTCAGTTGTGAAATTCTTTCGGTTTTTATTTTATAGAAATATTTTCAGTATTAGAAATATATATATTTTTATTTACGACATAAATGATTTATTTAAAAATGTAAAAATATAAATACGGAACAACCCCGTTTCCTCTAAGAATCGGAACAGGGGAACCAGATATTCGCTGCCGTGCAATTTTCAAATCGGGAGGCTTTCCTGCGTGCGCTCTGTATGAAGCCAAGGAATTGCACCCTTCAATTAGGCGGGACACATCGAGCAAATGTATTATTGTCCTCTGGATTCCGGACACACGTTGGTCCAAAAATCGGTAATAATTGTCTGTGTGTTATCTTTACATGGCCTATCCTCAATCGGGTGAGGATGCCCCTTCTTCTACGAGTCAGTTCCTCCGAGGGCCACCCATCGCCAGTGCTCGTGAAGAGAAAGCTTCCCTGTCGATCCGGCCATTGACGCTGCCACCTTCTTCTAATCAGGTTTTTGTTTGAAATCGTAGCGTCACAAGTAAGGACGCGGTGGTCGAGTCCAGAGGTTGGCCTTATATCTGCCACGTACGCCTTCTTGACCAGGTACTCAGACAACATCGACAGCTTTACCGAAACTCTCCAGTTCGGGGTATCTCTTCAACACGAGCACTACGAGAGTGTCGAGGGAAAACCTGTCATGGACTGCAGTATCTGCGCAGTGGTCGGTCGCAGGGCCACCGTCGCCTCGCATCACCTCAAGCGCGGCCTAAATCGCGTACAATTCTGCTGTGTAAACGCTATAGTGCGGCGGAAACGACCCCCTCGCGATACACGGCTCACCCTCATCTTCATTAGTGTTAGTCCCGTCCATAAAGACGACTCGAAAACCGAAAAAACTCGATTTAAGCTCCAAGCACTTAGCTCTGTAAAGGTATGGCGGAGTGGATGACTTGGCGAGGACCCAGGGAAGAGTCGGTTATCCAGCTCCAGTACTGTTCCCAGTGAAATCCCCGCCCTCCCTAAGGCTTCGCCGAAGTGTATTCCTAGAGTTGCTCGTACATTCTACTATACGGGCATCAAAGATTCACACTCGAAAG